TGACATGAAAATAGCCAAGAAGAACTTAGCTGACATATGGGAAGACATGAAATGAGATGAGAAGAGCTCAGATGAGATGAGTTGAGATGAAGTGCAAGTGTGAAGTGTGGAGTGTGGGGTGTGAAGAGTGCAATGTGAAGTGGGAGGAAAGTGTTTGCATTGTACCGGGGTCGCGCGCAGGTCATGTTCTTGGACAGCAACACTGCAACAGCTTCGCACAAAGCACGCAGGCACGGGCCTGGCTGGCGCACGGCGCATGCAAGTTCCTTAGTAGTAGTACTGGGAAGTGATTCATGAAAGCTTAGATGACATATGAGAAGAGATGAGATGAGAAGAGATGAGCTGGGATAAGGTGAGAAGAGCTCAGATGAGATGAAGTGTGAAGAGTGAAGTGTGGTGCGTGAAGTGCGAAGTGTGGAGTGTGAAGTGTGAAGTGTGGAGTGTGAAGTGTGAAGTGCGGAGTGTGAAGTGTGAAGTGTGGACTGTGAAATGTGAAGTGTGGAGTGTGAAGTGTGAAGTGTGAAGTGTGGAGTGTGCAGTGGGAAGCGTGCAGTGTGAAGTGTGGAGTGTGGAGTGTGGAGTGTGGAGTGTGAAGTGTGGAGTGTAAAGCGTGAAGTGCGAAGTGGAGCTTCAAATGTGACATGTGAAACAGGACACCACTTTCGCAGAGTGCACGCACGCACGGGCTTGGCTGGCGCACGGCGCATGCAAGTTCTATAGATGAGAAAGGTCTTACATATATCTTTAAGGCAACTTCCGCCCCGCCTCGTGCGGGTACTACTGGTATGGGTTTGTCTGAAGATAGTATTGCCCGCAAACTCCTATGATTCATTTATCATTTTCCCTCATTAACATTGCCATGTTGGGGTATACCGGTACCCCATTGTCAGACCCAAAGTGTATTTAGCTGGTTATATATCCCATTACATTTTCATTGAACCCCACGAAATCCCACAATCACCGATTCATACTGGTTATTTACCCGTTAAACCTCCAAGATGAAGAAACCTCCATGTTTTTCCCATTAAAACCTCCATTTATATTAGGTTATTTATATAGATTTCACATAGATTTGATATGGGTTTTGTATGGTTCACCACAACTCACCCACCTTCCATGCCCATTCTCCCCGTTGCTCCAGTTGCCAGTTGCCGGGTCACGCCAGGAGAAGTCCAGTTTCTCGATGCGCAACCGGTCCTGAGCCAACGGCACTCTGCATGGCCAATCTTAGATACCCTGCAAAAAAATGCAAATTCTTAGCTGGTTAGTTAGTAGATAATCCCATACCTAAAGACCATTCAGGATTAGTTTGTACCCCAGTTGGTGAAGTCAGAATAGAACGTAATGTGGTTAAAACAATGCCATAAACCATCCCCCAGTCATCAGCATTTTTATGGGTAGTATAGTTACCATTCCCAGTCATGGGTAGTTTATGGCATTGTTTTACCTACATTAGTAATTCATCCCCCTTGGAATTTGGGGGGTTGGGTTGGGGGAGCCAAAACGTAGAGGCACCCAACCCCAAACTCCCTACAAAATGGTTTTTAAATGTTTTTTTGATGAAAAATATTTAAAAACCATTGTGTAGCAATTATTTTACAAACCATTTTGTAGAAATAACTTCAGATATCTTCAGATTTCCAGGAATTTTATAAAACATTCTGTAAAGCTCAATCATTTTTGAATCAATGAGGTAGCATTTTCCCCAAAAAAACTACAAACCATTTTGTAGATGTATTCGTTGTTTTTTGAAAAGTACCAAAACCATTTTGTAAAGCAAGCCCCAATCCCTGGCCAAATCCCCCAAAAAATATAAAACCATTTAGTAGTATTCCTTGAAAAAATAGGTGTTTTTCATTTTTCTGAAAAAACATCAAAACCATTTTGTAAAGTTGTTCAGCACATAAACCCATCTGTGAAAGTTCCCCCCAAAAAACAAAACCATTTTGTAAAACCAAACCTATTTGTGAACTATGGATTGACATTTTTTAAAAAAACTACAAACCATTTGATAGGTTTGTTCGTTGTTTTCAGCAAAAAACTACAAAACCATTCTGTAAGGCTAAATCATGCTAAATCTATATATATATAATCTGTTTCTATCTGTATGTAAAAGATTGTAAAAGATTGTAAAAATAGATTCCAGATGATTCCAGAATCATCATGAATCATCCAGAATCCCCTTCCCACCACTATCATCCACTATCATCATCTATCATCCAGTATCATCCACTATCCACCGCTCCCATCACCATGCATCACCATGCATCCCCATGCATCACCATGCATCACCAATATTCACCAATCATATCCAATCATCACCATGCATCACCAGGCACGAAACCATGTGAATCTGGCGGTTGCTTTTTTATCCTTGTGGCTGCGGCACTTTGTCGTTCCATTCCTGAATAGCTACGCATAGCCAAACTACCGGCAGCAAACCTCTGCACTGGCTGCACCCAACTGTCTCACATCTCACAAAACAATATAAAACAATGCAAAGCAATCCCACTTGGAATTTGGGGGGTTGGGTGGAGCCAAAACGTAGAGGCACCCAACCCCACCCCACTACAGAATGGTTGAAGGCTCCCTACAAAATGGTTGTTTAAATGTATTTTGAGGAAAAACACTTCAAATACCATTGTGTAGCAATTATTTTACAAACCATTTTGTAGAAATAACTTCAGATATCTTCAGATTTCCAGGAATTTTAAAACCCATTCTGTAAGGCTCAATCATTTTTGAATCAATGAGGTAGCATTTTCCCAAAAAAACTACAAACCATTTTGCAGATGTACTCGTTGTTTTTTGAAAAGTACCAAAGCCATGTTGTAAAGCCAAACCCAATCTCTGGCCAAATCCAAAAATATTTTATAAAACGATTTAGTAGTATTGATTAAAAAACAAAAGTTTTTCATTTTTCTGAAAAAACAAAACAATTTTGTAAAGTTGTTCGGCACATAAACCTATCTGTGAAAAGTTCCCCCAAAAAAACAAAACCATTTCGTAAAACCAAACCTATTTGTGAACTATGGGATGGCATTTTTCAAAAAAAAACTATAAACCATTTTGTAGGTTTGTTCGTTGTTTTCAGCAAAAAACTACAAAACCATTCTGTAAGGCTAAATCATGCTAAATCTATATATATATATATAATCTGTTTCTATCTGTATGTAAAAGATTGTAAAAGATTGTAAAAATAGATTCCAGATGATTCCAGAATCATCATGAATCATCCAGAATCCCCTTCCCACCACTATCATCCACTATCATCATCTATCATCCAGTATCATCCACTATCCACCGCTCCCATCACCATGCATCACCATGCATCACCATGCATCACCATGCATCACCATGCATCACCAATATTCACCAATCATATCCAATCATCACCATGCATCACCAGGCACGAAACCATGTGAATCTGGCGGTTGTTTTTTATCCTTGTGGCTGCGGCACTTTGTCGTTCCATTCCTGAATAGCTACGCATAGCCAAACTACCGGCAGCAAACCTCTGCACTGGCTGCACCCAACTGTCTCACATCTCACAAAACAATATAAAACAATACAAAACATTCTTCATAATCTTCATCATTCATCACAAAGTCACTACAGATTGGTTCTGTAATTTTCTTGGAAATCAGCACTGAGCACTGAAAATGACTACAGATTGGTTTTGAAATTTTCTTGGAAATCAGCACTTATCACAAATGAAAACACAAAGTCACTACAAATTGGTTTTTCAGTTTTCTTAGAAACCAGCACCGAACCACCGACAAAGTCTACAGTTTGGTTAATAATTTTCTTGGCCAAAACTGAATGGGCACTTTTTAAAAACCAAGTCACTACAGATTGGTTTATCAATTGTTTTGGGCACTACAAAATGGTTGCACCCAACCCTTCCAAAAAAGCTAAAAAAAACCCTATATCATTTTGGTTCCGTTTCTGGGGGTTAACCCCTACCATTTCGTAGAGGAAATTCCAAGGGGGATAGTAATTCTATGCTAATCTCCATTTTTGGCTGGTAAAATCACCATTTTCCTATAGTTTTCTTATGGTTTTCCTATGGTACCTCCCACTTCGATTCGTAACCGCCGTAACCGCAGGTCCTTCATGGCCTGCGTTTGGCTCTCGTGATCGATGGACACCAAATCGATGACGAACTCCGCGGGGTTCACAGCGCCTGGGGGAAGGGTTGGTTCATCGATAGCTATCATGGGATATAGTAGGTATCATCTCATCATCATCATCATCATCCAATTGATAGTTTTCATGGGATATAATGGGATAATGATGAAGGAAAAGTCAAAGTTAAATAAACAGGCTACCTAAACCATTGCTACACACACAACACATTATAATATGATAAGTGAAACAACCAGTATGTTTTAATGATCGTTTTTGATGAAGTGAACACATACTAAATATGAGTCACAGTTGATACTGGGTAAGTCATAGTTGAAGAACCAACAATAAAACACACGAAAGCGATCGTTGCCAATTTCAAAAGCAGCTTGTGGGTGCCCCGCATCCAGCGAATTATCATTTCCCATGGGTCATTTTTGGTCAGAGCACAAGTGATCAGAAGTAAGACATCCAAAAGGTATGGAGAAAACACCCGACATCAAAACTCGAAAGACAATCAGAATTTACCCAGACATCAGTGGCTTTTGAACCATGTGCATTTTCTTCATGGGCGACCGGGCCTTCTGCGCAGCTGTGACCCAAGGAACCTTGGAGCTTGCAGGAGCGTACCAAGCATGATAGAGACCGATGCCGACCGATCTCTTAAGGTACCCTAATTGTTGATAAGTTGATAAGTCTTGATGACTAATACCTTCCCATTTTAAAACATTCAGTTTGCAGTTTTTATACCTTGATCGTGCCCGATCTTACCTTGAACTTGGAATTTAGATCATGAAATTCTTAACTTCCAATGGCCGCAATTCTTATCTTACTTCCAATAAATCAGAAAGTTAAATTCTAATTGTTGCAGGTTACTAAATCCGAAGTTCTTCAGGAAGTCAAACTCCAATTCCTCTCACCTAAACATAGCCAATCTTCTACAAATACCCTTCAAGACATATTGAAGTTTCGGCTGGTTGGCAACTAATCACCATTAAATCACAAAAAATAAGTTGCTAAACTACCCTTTCAAGCCTTCCCTACAAATCTGTGCAAATTACTTTATTTCTTACCTCGTCTACCTCGTGTCTGATCATCGTTACGCGCATTTAGCACCTCGCCTCGTTACATGTGGTTTAGAAAATGGCACCTCGCCTCGTTAAATTTGGTTTCGAAAATAACCCCTCGCCTCGTTAATTTCAGGCTGTAGGTATGTATATATATATATGTATATATGTATATCTATAGGATTTAAAAATGCCTGTGAGTAAACATTGATACATGTATGATGCACGAACAAGGACAGGTTCCAATGTCTCCAAACCCTTCTTTCCAAAAGGCTTTTCACGTTGCCTTGCCGAGAGTGGTTCAGTGTCCATCCGCCTTACGGCGTTTGGGAGGGGACATCTCATCCAATATATTGGAAAAAGCTCTACGTTCTTGATTGTCCACAAGCGCAGCATCGCCCTTGCTCAGGCCTCGCAATGGCCCTGCGGGCCTTTCCTTCCTTCGCTTGTAATGAGGCCGTTTGGCTCCAGCATCAGATCGCTTGGCTCTTCTCCTCTGTGCGATCACCTTCCCCTTTCTAATGAAAGCAGCTGTCGTCATTCTGCGCTCCTGTCCAAGGAATCAAGGAAGGTTGGAAAATTCTTTGTAGGGGACTAAAACCCGTTGAAACAGCTTCAGTTTGTGGGCCTAGAAACAGTGGGGAACAGCGCTGGTAGGACGCACCACCAAAATATTGGCCCTTCAATGTCCTTCGTCAAAAAAGTGTCCAGGCTGGCTTCTAAGAGAGGACCCGAAACAGCTTCCAGCGGCGATGGTCCGTGTGCCACGAGAAGGCTTTGTTCGATGTGCTTCGCAGGCACTGAATTGCTGTACTGTAATGTTTCCTGGGGATCGGGAACAAGGGTCTGGAAAAAAAAACTTTCGGACCCCGGAAAAGTTTTTTCAAGCTCAGCCATGGAAAAATACTTGTCGGGACCTGAAAAATTTAATTTGGTGAGCCCGGGGAAAAACTTTTCCGGGCCTGTACAGTTTAATTTCGTACCCCTTTAGAGAAGACATATGCACCAGAAGTGCACTCGGAGAGCTTCGTCTCTGGCTGCACCAGCTTGTCACCAACGTAAAGGGTGAACACAGACGGGTGCCACCCTTTGTTTGCAGCGAACTCCTGCAAGACTTCTCCGAAACTCGCATCAAGGTCTTTCATGGCCTCGAAAGGCCACCCAAGACGCGACTGGAGAAGAACTCGCAGCGGCATGGCCCTGGAACTTTGAGCGTGCGAGTCTTTGAGCCCCAGTACTGAAGTGAGGGTGTCTGGCAAAAAAACTTTTCCAGCACTGAAAAGTTTTGTCTGCTACAAACCCTGGCGCGCTGTCTTGGAGGCACCGGATGGACATGAAACAAACTTTTGGCAGCCTGAAAAGTTTATTTTGGTGGATTTGGAATCTATTTACTTCCACTACACAGCCGCCTCGTTCTATCCAAATTTAACTCAACCACCTGCTTGAATCATCAAAATAAACTTTCCAGCTCTCCAAAAGTTTTATTCCATGGGTCCGTGCCATCTACATGTCCGAACACTGCCCATACTGCTTAATTCTCAATAAGCAACCTCGTTACTGACCTCGTTAATTCTCTCTAACTAACCTCGTCACCTCGGCTGGGGTCGCAGTAATTTGGGCAGACAAATTACTATTCCTGCTTTATGGATGTTTCCCAAAATCGAACTCCAAAAAGGCTAAAAAAATGATGTGTATTTTCGCGGTCCAGTTATAGTTAAATCACACGTCACGTTGCTGCAAAATTTCCACAATCCTTCACAGCCCGAAGCTCACCCCGTCAGCCATGTCGAGGAGCTGAAATAGTTGGGCATTTCAGAGGTGCGGCCACAGTAGACCACGAAACCACCTGTGCTCAATGGTCCCTGACCATTAGGGAAACCGTGGGTTTTCCATACCTAGGTTAGCTTTACCCCAAGGCATCTGGTGTAACTCACCAATCTGAAGCAAGGCAATTTTGGGACAGTAAGAATTTTGAAGCTAAGAGGATACGCCTCATGTACCAAGTTCCGTTCTTGGTTTGTTGATCGCTCCAAGCTTGGGGTTTGAGTTATCTGCTGCATCTGGATCTGTATGGCCAACTTTAAACGTCCCCATTTGTATGCTCCCAAATACGTGTTAAATCCCCCAGAAATTCCATGGTTTCCGGGGCCTGGTGCCATGACCAACAGATCTTCCAAACAACGCCACATGGAGCTGCGCGGTTGGTGCAGGGAACACATCGCCACACATTTCCTGACCAGGGGAAAATTTGATTCAACCTCCATTTTGTGGGCCAACTTCATACCTTTGATTCCGTACGGCCGTACGGTAAATGAGGATTCACTGGAAAATTTGATCGGTTTTCTGTAGGGCCTTTTTCAGACAAACCCACTTTTAACCAGAATTACACTTGGATATGCCGCTCTTCCGTTGTAATGTGGGTAAAACAATGCCATAAACTATCCCCCAGTCATCACCATTGTAATAAAAAGGTGTAAACCATTCCCGCATGGGCGGTTTATTATTGTTTTTCCCACATCATATGATTGGAATAGCTGGATTCAATGGATTGGTTTTTAGGAAAAAATACTGGGAACTGGGAAACCCTATATTTACTGGGAAAATCCATGGTTTTCGATTAAGATTTTCCTGAAACCAATCCATTGATGGATCAGATTGGACCGCCACCGTTCTCCTGGTGACTGCTAACTCCTTGAGAAGCTCAGCCACACGTTGTGCCTGCAATTTGGGGAACGTCCCGACATCTCATGGTTTTTGAACCGTTTTTTAAATTAGATAAACACAATATATAGCTGTATTCCTCACTTTGATTTTCAAATAAATAAATAAATATATATATAAATATATATGTATATATATATATATGGAATGGTGTATTGCTCTTTTTGGTTTTGAAATACATATTATTATATATGTATTTCCAATATTTTACCCTGTATGGCTCATCTGAGATACCAAGCTGACAAAGGTTCACTCACTTGGCAGTTGCACAAATAAACTTCTGAAGCGCTGAATCATGGGTGCATACATCAATATATCAATCATATATCAATCATATATCAATCATATATCAACCATATCGAACCACTCAATCCTCATGATTCCATCGGTAAAATGCTGACCGTCAACAAAGATGGATTGATGCTAAAAGATCTCCTATCCCTTTTTCCGCTCCGATACCAGAGGGGAGAATCAAGGTTGGTATCAATGTGAGCCCCATATATTTCTGGTTCTCTCTCTCTCTCTCCATCGCCCTCCCCGGGAGTTCAGCATCTTGCTGAAGGCGAGCCAAGGACAGCTTGGCAGTTCAACGCCCGAGCTCAGTAGCTAGGCGTGTCATATCACGATATATGTCCCAGTTGGATCTGAACTTGACTTCAATGGTTTATCACAATTTTTGCTCGGAAAAGCCATCATTTGGAGGGACACACCTTTTTCCGACACCCCCAAATTGGATTTAGTTGCTTATATCCCATTACCCTCTGGTAAACTAACATAGCTATGGAAAATCACAATTTTCAATGGGTAAATCCACTATAAATGGGCCATTTTCAATAGCTATGTTAGTTTATCAGAGGGTATATCCTGACAAAATCCCGTGAACTCACCTAGTTCGACGAATTTCCGGCGACACCTCCATTTTCTTCCGCGATTTTGCAATTTTTCATGATCCCATTCTGTCAGATATCCCAATGGAATACCATCAATTTTGGGTTCAATCCATCTTGTTGTTGGTTAAACAAGTTAAACGACCTTTCCAAGTCATCATAGATCCCAAAAACCCCAGAAGTCCCATTGTATCCCATGATATTCCCACTAAATCCCCATTAAATCACCATGAATCCGCAGGTTTGTTGGTTCAACCACCCATTTTCGATGCGCCAGATGGCCTGAAATGCGTCCAGCCCTGTGGTGGGTTCATCTGCCAACAAGGCCCGTGCAGAGAAGCCGCGGCCTTCTTGGCCTTCCCCTGGCGCGAGATTTCGGCAGAAAACGACTTGGGGAACGTCGGAAACACAGAGTGATAAGGATAAACATAACAATAGTGTTATGTACTATGGAAAAAGGTTAAAATTAACAACGGTGTTATGTACTATGTTATGTACTATGGGTTAAAAACAAAATAAGGTTAGTATGGATTAATGGAAAGGGCAAAAATTTAGTCATGGGATACTGTGATAATACCAATAATAAAGGGATAACTAATGTATTTAATGGGTCATGATCTGCTAGCATTGGAAAATCATGGGATAATTGAGGATATTGTAAAAATATTGTATATGGGATACTAACGATTATAAACAGATATAATCCATTGCCCCCTAATCATGTTGTTAGTAAGGCAATATGATACAGCTGCGATCATAATAATGCAATATTTTTTTTTGGTGGGCTCTGATAACCCCATCGCCCTGATGTTAAACACACCCTAAATGGTTCGTATGTGGATTTATTTGCCAGTAAATCGTTGTTTCTGGAGGGTGTTTATTATTAGAGGGATGGGCTAATACATTTTTTTCGATCGATATGGATATTCTATTATGTGCCAGTTTCTTCCAGATTCCTAAAATATAATTCTTGAAAATGATACTTGTCCTTGGAGCGCCCAATCGCTCGCCAAATCGTCCTCATAATGACCCCTACTACACACCACTAAAAGGGCACCCGAAAGCTTTTCAAGATTTATTGTACCTTCCGGTGATCAAGCAGTAGAGCAATGAATCATAGAAGCGTGCAAAATGAAAAAATGGCGAAGTGATTTGGGTGTGCCTGCAAATAAGATACCAAGCATATCCAAACATCTAAGGGAGCAGGAAACTTGCAAGGACTCGATCCTGCAGGATGATTCGCCTGATTCATCGGATCCAGCCACTGGGCCACGGCGGCCACGGCGCTGGGGGTGATTCAGGGGGAGAAAAACCGAGGGAATCCAACCTTGATTGATGAAACCTGCCACCTTGGCAAAACCAAACCAAATGATCTCGAGCAGGGACCGCTGGAGGGTCGTTACAAAATGGACAGCTGGAAACTTCCGTAGCGCGCATTTTAGCTGAGCAGGCAGGGCTCACAAGTGCACCAGTCAACACCTGAAAGAATGCGAAGTTCTCACAGGCACGTTTTCGTGCCCACTCCACGTAGTCAGCACAGCTGAACTTATTGAAGTGCCATTCTCTGAAACTTTCCCGAAGCTGATGTTGAATCAAATCGTTCTTTACTTTAACACGAAGCAGTGACAAGTCTCCCTGCAAGGTGGTGCCCCCTAGATAGCGTTCAGTTGGTTTATAACTCCGATAACTATGGTTTATAGTTGATATATCGAACTAGTTAATGGGGTTATAAACCAATTTATAACGTTTGGAGGGCACCACCTTGTGGGTATCATTCAAGCACCAACCGCGCGGAGCACATTTTTTTACCCGGATTTGGGAGCCTCGGTCTGGTGATGTCATCTTTTTCGCCCACGAAGACCGAAACAACTGGATTTTGTTGGTTGGATATCCCCCAAAAAATCCCAACTCAATACACTAAAACCTGGATTTTCCCAACTAATCCCATAAACAAAACCCATGAAATCCCACTAATGTGGGTAAAACAATGCCATGCTTACCATCACCCAATCATCACCATATTTATGTGGTATGGTTACCATGCCCAGTCATGGGTGGTTTATGGCATTGTTTTACCGACACTACTCCTATAGTAATTCTATGCTAATCTCTATTTTTGGCCGGTAAAATCACAATTTTCCTATGGTTTTCCTATGGTAACTCCCATTAAATCCCCATTAAACAAAATTTTACTAACCCCAAATCAAATCCCACTAAATCCACCCCATTGGGACCACTGGCGAAGTGCACCTGCAATCGCACAAGCCACTGCCAAGCGCCGTTGCTCGCCCTTGGTGGTGTGATCCACACGCCTGGCAAATATCCAAGCAATTTCGGAGATATCATTGGAATTTGATGGGGGTTAGTTTGGATTTAGCAGGGTTTAATGGGATTTAGCAGGGTTTAATGGGGGTTAGTTTGGATTTAGCAGGGTTTAATGGGATTTAGCAGGGTTTAATGGGGGTTAGTTTGGATTTAGCAGGGTTTAATGGAGGTTTATATGTGATTTATCCCACACATATGGTGAATATAATGGGTTTATATAAGGGGTTTAAATGGGTAGAGCTAAAACCAAGGGATTTCATCGGCAAGAGTTGGGATTGTTCCATGATTGCACTCTGGCAATCCTTGGAATGCTCCTCCAAGGTCAAGTGCGCCAACTGCTGCGCGGCGCGGTGTCCATGAGCACCCTGCCCCACTGTCGATTTTCGTAGGTGGTGCGGCACCGCCTCTCTCCTATCTTTCCTCCCTTTCATCTCCGAATCCTCCCATCAAAGCGCCGAAAAGGATTCAAATGGAAGGAACATGTATTATGCCTATGCCTATGCAATGCGATGAAGTGTGTGCAATGCAATGTGCCCATCATTGTGATAGGTTTCAGCTGGTTGATGACCAAAACAACTAGGATCTGTGGTAGATATGTCACAGTTCATGGGATTTATGGTATTTATGAAAATCTAAGAGAAAAAATATCAGTTGGGATTCAACCCGCCCAGTAAATGGTTTTTGAATGGGGATAAAACGCCAACACCGGTGATAAAACGCCAACAGTCATGATGGGATACAACTGGATGATGCAATGGGATACCATTGAATCCGTCTGATAGCTATGACATGAACGGCTCCGGAAATTCCATCTACATTGTATATATAACTAGTTTTTTGATATTCCCGTAGCGAATACGGTACTTTTTGATTGCAAAGTCTATCTACTGGGTGACTAATGAAAGCTCCAAAGTGGATTGATCAACTGAGGCCACCCGCATTTTTGGTAACACAGACCATCAAACTACCCTTTACCAGCCGCTTTTTTCCATGCATTTTACTGCAGTAGGCACCAAACGCATGTTTTCATTTATTGTTCGTGTTCACCCTCCGTTAATCAAACATGGCAATGGAAAATCAACTATTTACAGATGATTTTCCCAGCTACATACCTTCATCTACAGAATCTACAGGGGATTTCCTGGCCATTTTTGATTGTTCTATGATATTCCCATTAAACCTCACTAAATCCCATTGATTACTGGGTAACCCCCATCTCCCAATATGCTTCAGCGTCCAGGATCCATTGAACCAATAATTCCTAAACCATATCCATTAAATCACCACTAAATCCCATGATCATCGGAAAACATTTTTTTTCCCCATTGCGCGCCTCCAGGAAACTAAAAATATGCTATTGGAGCTTCTGCTACCTCTTCATTGTGGGAGAATTAAATCGATTTGTTTCTTGTATTTTCCCATGTGACGTTGGCTAAACTGACTCATGATCTCCGTCCTCGATGATGCAGCAGCTAGGCCCACGCGTTGCAAAAGGCTGTCCGCCTGGGTGCAGCACATAGCAGTTAACCTCTGGTTGTTTCATGAGAATTTCATGCGGTTTAATGGGACTTTATGGGAATTTAATGGGATTATAGTGGGGTTTTATGGGATATTATATAATGGGACTTAATGGGGTTTTACGGGGCCTAAATGGGATTTAATGGGAATATCATGGGATTATATTGGGCGTTCAATGTTATGATGATTAAGGAGGATTTAACCACCAAACATGTGGATATTCATTGGATTCAGCCCTGGTTGTTTAACAGTTTGCTATGGAAAATAGCTCATTTATAGATGATAACAATGATGATTTGCCGTTGAACATGGGTGATTTTCCATAGCTACGTCAATTTGATGGTATGAACAGAATGTATTGCTGGGTGGTTCATCTCTGTGGCCAAAAAACTGAACCCCCCAGTTTAACTAACAAGAATAACCCTTCTTGCCCTAATTGCAACTGGGGGTATAACCTATTTTAAGATAAAAACAAACATGATATGGTGATCTGTTGAATGGCACTTGGGTCTCCCAGGAATTGCACCTGGTAAAAAACAGCTATGTGCAATTGGTTGCCACTCAGTGGGATGTATATCCAGGTTGTTCTTTACTCAGATGAGGCCTTGGGCTGGTCAACCAGTTTCTGCAGAGGGGATGGTTGTGAACATGTCACGGGAAACATGGGGATAATTCAAATGAATCATACTCTGAAAAAAGGGTTTGTCTGAAAACAGGGTACCGGGTACCCCTACATCCTCCGGTTTACCATCATTTTCCTTATTAAACAGCCAGTTTATGGGTATACCACAGTCCCAAATGGATGCCACACCTGAAAACTTGAGCCCATACTCCATTGACCCGATCACTTGAAACATATTTGCAGGGGATCATCATGCTATGCTTGACAATAAAAACATATAAAGCAAACCGCCAACCAGATTGGGATGTTCACCACGGTGGAGCTTCACCTTGGCCATGCCCCAGTAAGAACTGATGCCCATCGTTCATGTTCATCCCCCCATCCAGGTAGCACTTCAAAATTGGAGAATAGGCACTTTCTGCGGCGTGCATGCATGTATACATATACATATATATATATTTACACACACACATATATATATATATGCAATTATATGCATACATGAAAAACACTTCCTTCGAAAAACACGGGAAATCTCCGGAAAATCATTGGACCATGTCCCAAAAAGTGTCTAAAACAAATGGAGGTTTCTGGGAAAATCATGGAGAATCCATGAACTTTCTATGGCAATTTTCAAGAGCAAACTGTTAGTTTACCAGAGGGTAGTGCATCCACCACTTGGAAAAGTTGTATATGGGGGGTTAACCAGCAAAACCATGGGAAAACCACATGAAAACCATAGGAAAACCATATTCAGGATCTGTGATGCACCCGGTGAATCGAAAAATGTGACCCTTTTGCGAGCACCTCCTGTTGCGCTTGGGCGTAGCTCTGCCCGGCCAGGCGGGAAGCATAGCAGAGGGTCTCGAAGACGGTGAGTTCCAAAAAGAAGGGATCGTCCTGCGGAAGATGTGGGATTTAATGGGATTCAATGGGGATTATAATGGGAGTGTAATGGTATTTAACTGAGGTTTAGTGGGACTGAATAGAAAATACTGAGATTTAATAGAGTCCAATGAAGATTTCATGGGATTTATTGTGATAATATGGGGTTATATGAGATTGTTATGGGCTTTAATGATCGTTATGATGCACTATGGGTTTTAACATGATTTAATGGGACACTGATGTGGTTTAAGATGCGGTGCCAAGTCTGATTGTAACAGGATGATCATATTGTAACAGGGACTTCTAACATCGTCAGACGAGCTGTTGAGTCGTTGTTGTGGTTTCACCTCTGGCATATTCGTGCGGGATATCTCACATTGTGCTGATTCCATGGTAACCATGGAACCTGGTACGATCGGCTCGTAATAGGATTATGATTGTATGACATGACCTCCCCATATGGTGATTAACGTGGGGTTTATGACCTACTTGTGGCATGGGTCAACTGCTAATAGGTCAGGATCGCCTCCAGTTCAGAATCCCACCTAAGAATCTAGTGACATATGTCAATGATTGTCAATATATCCACCCAAAATCAAACAGCAGAGAAAAACGACCAACAGAAACCTATCACATTTCAGAACTCCAAGACCGGTGGCTGTTGAGGTCTTTGGTGCAGTCGGCCACGGCTGCCGCGACTTTTTTTCTCCAATCTTTCAATGACACTTTGCAGTAACACAAACCAATTCCTGTTGATAACTCATTGAAATATTGGGATGGGGATTGGTATGGGGAACCATGATGGGATTATTCTAAGATTACTCATTTTAAGAATATGTGGTATTCATCCCGTGGTGCACACTGGGGCGTTCTTATGAGCTATTGCTGCAATCCTATCTCAAACCATACATCTCTGGGGTAGATTCATCTTTGGGTCGTCGGATGGGTACTGGGATATTTCTTCGTCATTTTGGGACAACAAACATTCTCACCTGGATAGACTTTGAGAGGTCTGGTAAATCGGTAAATCTGAGCTTCAAATGAAGGACTTCTCTACAAAAATGATGATTCAGCCATCATTGGTTCTATTTCTGTCGGCATGGTTTGCCAAACATATCATTTTCGTTGTGGTCCTCCTGTGGTCATGCATCACCGGCAACGGCTGCTGTCAGTTAGATGGGATGGTTGATTCTCATTCCATCTTTTCGCGGTGGTAGATATCCCGTTTTCAGAGTCTTCGCAACTGGCAATGATGGCATACATGCGAAGATACCAAGGAGAAATACCAAGGAGAAAGTGAATCAACTCATAGCACCCTCTAATCCAACATGCTTTGATGGAAAGTCCACCATGGCTAGTTCCATGATTTTCGAAGCCATCAAAACCAGCATTTTGTTCTTTTTCCATCCCATGATGTTCCGTTGATTTTACCAGTGATTTTATCCACGAGAAAAAACATCGGTGCTTTGTCCCAGGTCCTGAGCCAGTAAGGCCACAGTGCCTGGCCAAGTTTTGTCGCCATGGCAGGGGTCGTGGCAGATAGATAGATGGATGGATGGATGGGATAAAATGAGATAGGATGATAGATTCTGATAGATAGATGGGTAAGACGGTAAGACAAAATAAGATGACATGAGATAGGATGAGATGATATAGGATCAAATGAGATGAGATAGCATAGGACAGGATAGGCAAGGAAAGGGGCGGATAGGATTAGACTAGGTTAGATTGGGCTAGATTAGACTAGACTAGATGAAGTAGATTAGATTAGATCAGATTGGATTAGACCAATTAGATGTATATATAAATATATGTATAAATGTTGGACCCCACATGAACACATCGAGTACTGAACGAGCTCTTTTGTTTGGTGGGTTGGGATGGGAATATTTCTCTCGAGGGCAATGACCTTTGGTGTTAAGGAGAGATGAGCCAGAAGTAGGCACTGTGCATGGCCAGCATTTCACATTCCCAATTCTCAAGCTGAAAGACGAGCTACCCATGAAGCTTTATCCAGGAGCTGGGTTGACATTACTCAGTACCCTGTCAGGAACCAGTTGAAAACGTTACTTGGATGTGCATCACCGTCAGGAAGTGGTTTCTAACCCATACATCAACAACATACACATATATGTATAGGTATATACGTATGCATTTATGGTATGAAAAGACATTGCAACATATCTACATAGAATAATATAGAACTTGTGTGCGAATGTGACTGGGAAAAATCCATATCGATGAGTGGCTTATCATCATGTTTCCCCCATAAAAAGTGGCAAAGTTTATGGCACCCCACCGCTGCCTTCCGACACGCCAACGCGTCGCCCGTGGTTGCTCCAGATGTGGCCGCTGACGTGGTAGCGGCGCTGCAAGGTGCCACTTAAGGCACTTAAAAGGGTGGATTTTCCTGGAAATGGCGCCGCATCTGGGGAAAAGCTGGTGTTTTCCATGAAACATCCGGAGTTTTCCATGGAATATGGCGATTTCTTTCTTAGAAACCTGGTGAAAAACCACAAGTTGGTGAAGCAAAAAGCGATCCAACAAGCCAAACAGGAGATTTGACATGATTTGACCATCTTGATGAATTGAGATGGTGCTAAATCTCTCTCTCTCTTTCAACATATGAGGAAAACAGTATATAGTATAAGAAGCCTCTATTTATAGTATAAGAAGCCTCTATTTATAGTACAAGAAACCTCTATTTATAGCATAAGAAACCTCTATTTCTACTGGGGAAAATCATGATTAGGAAATGGTGGGCAATGGACATAACGGGCGAAAAACCCAAGGACACGAACGCGGTGAGGCATCTCCTCGACACAGTGTGGGGTGGGCATGGGGGTACAGCCCTAAAATACGAGTATCAATTCAGTAAATCCAAGGATAGGCAAACTATATGGGGGCTTCCATCAATGGGGGATCCCCAATAGCTGGATGGTTTATAATGGGACATCCAGCTAAAATGGATGATTTGGGGGGTACAGGTATGTTAGGAAACCGCCATATCTGTATATTTGAGGGCTTACAATAGCTCAACTACTGGTGTGTTTTTTGGACCCCACTCTTGACCAAAGGCCCATGGAACCTCTTTGTCGTTTGCGTGCCCCTGATGAACATACATCCGCGGCATGCTCAACAGAAGAACGGTGCCATGAACACCTCAAACCAGCAAATATTACATATTGACGTAGATATGTATCATGAATCAGCAAGTAAAAATTCAAATGACTCAAAAACTCTAGGACTAGAAGGTGAGGTCTCTCGATAGCTAAGTTGACGCACATAACTTGGTTACACATCATAGGTCTTACCGGGGATGTAGTCAAAGCAATGTGGGTAAAACAATGCCATAAACCATCCCCCAAATCATTATCTTTATAGGTGGTATGGTTACCATTCCCAATCATGGGTCGCTTATGACATTGTTTTACCCACATTACAATTCTGCTAATCTCCATTTTTGCTGGTAAAATCATCATTTTCTATGGTTTTCCTATGGCTTTCCTATGGTTTTTCCTATGGTTAATAGTTATCAATCAGTTACAAGTTGGTTCATAAACACTATTAACTATGGCAATATCTACCATAAACCATAGAATTCAGCAACTGATATCCATGGCCTTTTTTCCAGCGCCATCCGTCCTGCTCCAGAAGGACCCAGGATGCCCATCAAACGACCCGCACGAGCGATCCTGGGATCCCGAAAAAAAGGTGGATGGTTTATTTCATGGAAAACCCGTCTATAAATGGATGATGAAATGGGGCAGCCCTATGACTTAGGAAACCTCCTAATATGGTATGGTAGTATGGAACATGTATTTTATATGATGACCAGTGATATAGCAATGATATTACCTGGTATTGTTTAAGACTTATCTACCAAGTATTGATGGGATGTAAAGCTAATGATATTCTTTTTACTGAGATGTAACTCGATTGATATGCGCATCACTTTTTGGCCTTTTGAATTTGCAATTCCAAGCAGAGTGTCATCTTGGATGGTTCTATGTGGGTGCGTCTGAAAACAAGGATCTCCCCACAATCTCATGGTTTATCATTTTTCCTGCTACAACTTGCCATATATCACCATTGTACCGCTGGACACACCCAAATAAGCAGTGTTCACACCCTGTGTCGTACCCTTTTTCAGGTGGTTGATAGGGATTCCCCGAAATGGATTGTGATATTACCTAATATGTGTATATATATATGGATATATGTATGTATATATATAAATGTATATATATATATTTATATGTATATATATATGTATATATATATATGTTAAATAAATATATATATATATATGTATGTATATATATATGTATGTATATATATATATGTATATGTATGTATATATGAATATATATATGTATATTTATATGTATGTATATATGTATATATGTATATATGTGTAATTGTATATATGTATATATGTATATGTATATATGTATATATGTGTAATTGTATATATGTATATATGTGTATATGTGTATATGTATATATGTATATATGTATATATGTATATATGTATATATGTGTATATGTATATGTATATGATATGCATGCATATTACGTTGTAGAATCCCGTATGCATTGCTAATCTTAGATACACTGCAAAAAATGCAAAGAGACTAAATGATAAAACTGCGCGCCCAGTTGGTTCACCTAGTAATCCCTTTTTTGATGTTTACATACCGTTTCAATATTGGTTAAAGTCCTATTAAAATCATCAACCAACAGGGGTTTTGAATAGTGCTCAAATGAGATTCCGATCGTAGCCTACAGGGCTTCGGCAGAGAGAATATTCTTGGAGCCTGCTTAAGGGGCCCCAGATGGCTGGATGTGGAGAATGGATTCCCCAAATGAAAGATGAACCAATAGAACAAAACATCGTCTTAAAATCACATGCAGTTGCGTGTCTTCATTATTGGTGAATGTGAATGTGTCTAGTTTGGCTGATAATATCGAAATTTTGGCTGCCCCTATCCCTGCTTGAAACGCATACAAGATGGTGCCCCCTAGATAGCTTAGTTGGTTTCTAACTAGGTTAACAGAGGTTTATGCTAGATATATACAGATATATCATGGTATTTCTCTACTTCATTCATGGGGTTTTCCCAAAAGCAACATACATAACTTGGGGGCGCCACCTACAAAAAGTGGGATGGATCTTCCCATGGATCCCAAGAACTCCACAATAAAATCCGCGAAACCAAGCGGCCCATGGCAATCGTTCAGCAAAATCTTTCCAGCAACGCTCACCGCCAAGTCTCCTGATGCTGGCCATGGCCATGGCCTCCAATCTTTATCTGGTTGGTGGTATAGTTGACCTACCCCTCTGAAAAATGATGGACTGAAAGTCAGTTGGGATAATGACTATTCCCAACTGAATGCTGGCCATGGCAAAATTGCTGGCCACTCCCCAAAACAGCGCCTGTTTAGCTGCTATATAACATGTTTGTTTGTTGGTTGGCATGATTCCCCTGATGAATTTTGCGTGGCCAAGCCCAATAAGACACTGTTGATTGATTAGGGGGCCTACCACCAAAATAGTGATAGTTTACATGAATTCACGACTACAAATAGGTACGATATGATTAGTAAACTGGAGGTTTGTTAACCCTGGGTTAACATCATTGCCAAACAAAGTAGGAAGAGTGATTCCGTCCACATGACTGTCCTCCAGTGCTTGTGATCTTACTGTTGAACGTGTTGACACCGCTGTTGCTGGATAAATGCTCCGGTGTGGGACAGGTTTTGCTCTCCCAACAAATCCGTATGGGCGGTATGTCCAAATCCCAAATTTTCCGGGTCATCTAAATCATCTCCGGAGGTTCATTCTCAGGTTCGTGGTTTTACCCCGCTCCCGGATGCTTGGGACCCAGAAAACCCATGCCCTTCTTAGTTTTGGCAACGCCGAAAAAACTCCACTCTTTCGCAGTTCCAAGCGTCTCCAACAAAGATCGTTGTGTGAGTCATCCATGGCTACATGGACTGGCTCAGGCCTATGCTAAATGTCGATCACTTCTGAGATATGTTGACCTGAGATGTTCTTATTTTGTCGCCTGCTTCCATACAAGGAAGAAAGCTATGCACGTCTGGAAACAGTGCACATATCATCTATATATTGCCATGTGTAGCTTGACTCGAATGTGTTAGGGCTGTTTGGGGGTGGAGACAGTCTGTTGGGTTGGGGTTGAAAATTCGTCGCTAAGAGGCTCAAAACTCAGAGTCGAAAGGAAGAAAGAGCCACATCGCAGCGATGTTCCAGAAATCTCCTGGTTGGTGGTTTTAACCATCTTGAAAAATATTAGTCAATCGGAAGGATTATCCCATATATTATGGAAAATAAAAAATGTTTGAAACCACCAACCACTCTCTGAATTTGCCTTTCGTTCGTGTCCTCTAAGGTGTACTTGGACTGGTTGGTGATTCCCATGACCCAAATCCGAGGCATGTATAGGCATGTGGGATATCTGGGTGAACCATGGCAAAAAGATGGCGCACAACTACTCCACCATTTTTGTTGGTTAAATCACCATTCTTCTTGGTAAATCCCCTAGGTAAATAGCACCAGCCGTTGTGAAGAAGCGAACATGTGGCGAATGGCCAGCAAACACTCGAACATGGCAGGGCAAAACATCAAACTATGATGGTTCTCTCCACCACTGCAAGTGTTGCCCGGGTGTTGTCCCAAATGTGTTTGGCTGTCAGTTTATATTCACTACTTGTGTGTCAAACACCGACATTTTTGAATGAACCACTTGGATACCCAGCAGTTTCGAAACTGGTTCCCCAAAGTATTTGCATGTTTGGTGGCATTCCATCTGCTTGGCTCTACCGTTCACCAGGGCTTGTGAGGTCAATCTCCGTTTCTTGTTGCATTTTATACGATCTCTCTCTCTCTCTCTCCCCCCCTCCCTCCCTCCATCGCTGTCAGGTCACCCCTAGCTGTGCTAGGAAGCGAGAAACAAGTATCCATGCGTATTTCTTGTTTCTTTCTCTCTCTCTCTCTCTCGTTTATGATTTTGCATCCCTGACCTGATTTCTTGGGCAAAACTTTTGAGAAATCTAAATATACTTAGACTTGCTTCATGATCCCCAAACACACCGAGGTATAGGATGCATTTCCCCCAAATCAACCAACATGTAGCCCATGTAGCCATTGCATAGATCCTAGGGCCAAGACCCGGCGCAGAGCCGATTCCTTGGCGAAATCCTGGCGGTTGTTGGGAATCTGATGGGATCTAGTGGGGCTTCATGGGGTTTAATCGGGATTTCAAGGGAATATCATGGGATCTCATGATTTAGTTGGAAATGTTGATGATTCAATGGGATTTAGTGGGGGTTTATGGGAATGCATCATAACATTGGCTGGCAGGACCGAGGGTGTTGCAGTCTTGCAGTTCTCGTCCTTCTCTGGATCCGTGGAGTCATCATCGTTGACAGCAGATTGTTTTCTTTTTGGGAGCACTTGGAGATCCTTCTCATATTCTCTTGACCGCTCTTACTCTTAGGCCAGTGGAGTACAGTGAAGGGCCCAGAGGTGCTGAGAGACCCCAAACTCTGTTGTAGTCTTCAACGTTTTGTGACATATCGGGCAAACCTTCCTTTCGTCCGATGGCTCCTGGCTCATTGGCCCTGCTTTCTAACTGGACTTTGACCGTGTCTGAAAATGGGGATAGACCTCTTTTACGATTGTGTGTTTGTATTCCTTAGCCCCAAGAGTTGTGCTTAATTTCAACGAGATCATGGGACTTCCAGCAGCAGAGATCAGCTTGGTACTTGCGCCTGTTCGTCTGCCAAGTGGGCAGCCGGCTGTGGCAACCGACAA